AATACTTTTTTTTTTTTACAGTGCAGTTGTATTATTGCAATAGTATTGCAGAATGATGTTAAACCATGAATGTCCAGACTAATAGACTAATAGCCAGTGACAAAGGTACAGTTTCTCGTTTCATTTACATTTAGCATTTCTATTCATTGGAAATTGTGTCATGGAGCCTACACACTTCAGCTGAGTCATTCATATGATTTGAAAAGGAATATGAGGTTAATATTAGATTTATATTAAGGAATATGAGTTTTTATTATTTACTGTTTTTAAAGATTTACTGTGTTGTAAGGCTTTGTTCTTTGTGTTTTGTAGTTTGCTCAGGAGTAACTGAATCAGCTCAGCTGATCAGCACCACCAAAGAGATGTACAACTGGATCCTGTCTGTTCCATCTAACAGCATAAACATGATCTTCCAGGAGGTGAGTCTGTGTGTGTGTCGTAGAAGGTTTTAGACTGCATTTGCAAGTAAAAAATATGATATTTATGTACATGACAGACAGACAGATCATATAAGTATACATTGTTGTATAGAAGTTGTATTAGATTATAGTATATACACTGTTTAAAAGTTAGGGGTCTGTAAGTTTTTGTAATTTTGAAAGTAGTCTCTTATGCTCACCAAAGCTGCATTTATTTGATTAAAAATACAGTTTAAAAAGTTATTTTCTGAAATATAATGTGACCATTTAAAATAACTGTTTTCTATTTTAATATATTTTAATGTAACTTATTCTTGTGATGGCAAATCTGAATTTTCACCTGTCTTTACTCCAGTCTAATAAATAATTCTAATATGCAGATTTGCTGGTCAAGAAACATTTCTTATTGTTATCGATGTTGAAAACAGTTGTGCTGCTTAATATTTAGGTATTTAAGGATTCTTTGATGAGTAGAAAGTTCAAAAGACCAAAAAAAGTATTATAAATGCCTTCTACATTACCTTCACTTTTGATCAATTTAATGCACCTTTGTTAAAAAAATCTACATAAAAAAAACTAAAAATCTAAAAAATAAATAAAAATCTACTTACCCCAAACGTTTGTAATGTATGTTGTTTCTGTGGTGTTGTATTTTAATTCTGTATGTATCTCTTTGTGTGTGTTCATCATCTCAGGTGCTGGTTGACCTGAATTCTAAGAATGAACGTGGTTTGTATCAGTCACGGATCAAGGCCACTGTTGGTGGGCGACCTTTGACCTTTTACAGCTTGGTGGGTTTAGAGAATGAGGCGTTCTACCGCAGCATGCCACGCATCATTGCCGTCGCCATTGATGCTCTCAAAACGTAAAACACACTCATGTATGCTGCTGAAATTATACTTGAGCTGAAATGGCATCCCCAACATCTTAAATTCTCTAATGTGACCTGCTGCTATGGAAATGATTGGATGGGACCTCCTTGCTAGAGTCATCACAGGACAGCTGACTCTTCTGGAGTTGGTCACTGCATACTGAGACTGGACTGACGGTGACTGTATGTCCACCCTGACTTAACTTATTACACTGGGACAGAGGTTGATCCTCCTGTCTGAGCTGCAAACTGTACAGATATTATATTTGATGTTTGTTATATATTTATTTGTGTTTCTTTGTATTTTTTATATGAAAACAAAGATAAAAAATGAAATGGAGTAAAAGATTTAATCATATTGAAATAAATGTTGTCGTCATGAGCTTGTCAGGAACTCTTTTTTTAATTACTTATACCTATATATATTATACATATATGTGACCCTGGACCACAAAACCAGTCATAAGGGTAAATTTTTCAAAATTGAGATTTATACATCATCTAAAAGCGGAATAAATAAGCTTTCCATTGATGTATGGTTTGTTAGGATAGGACAATATTTGGCCGAGATACAACTATTTGAAAATCTGGAATCTGAGGGTGCAAAAAAATCTAAATATTGAGAAAATCACGTTTAAAGTTGTCCAAATGAAGTCCTTAGCAATGCATATTACTAATCAAAAATTAAGTTTTAACATATTTATGGTAGGAAATTTACAAAATATCTTCATGTAACATTATCTTTACTTGATATCCTAATGATTTTTGGCATAAAAGGAAAATCGATAATTTTGGTCCATACAATATATTTTTGGCTATTGCTACAAACATACCCGTGCTATTTAAGACTGGTTTTGTGGTCCAGGGTCACATATACTATATATATATATATACTGTATATACACACACACATACATACATATATATATATATATATAAATAAAGTATATGAACAGTACATTGATATAATAATGTGTATAAGTACAATGATTAATATAGACAGAAATTGAATGTATTATAATATAGTAGTAATTGTTATTTCAATTTTTCTGAAAAAAATGGCATTGTAGTATACAGTATGAGCTACAATATATTTTTTTTATTAAATTGAGCAATTCACTTTCATTTTAACCTCCCTCCCTCTTCCTTTCTTTTTCTCTTCCCCCTTTATTCCTTCTCCTCCTTTCCCCTTTTCATTTTTCCCTTTCTCCTTTTTCCAGGCGTGTATTTCACACCATTCTAACCTTTAATTCCTGTTGTATTTGTCAACCCATTCTTTTAATTTCTACTCATATTTATCCTTGCACTACCGCTTACTCTCATATAACATTTCTATTTCAGATTTATGGGAAAAGGAAGTAATTGCTGCGAGAAATCACCTTATTTAAAGGCTTGTTTACCTCCACTGAAACTGCACTTGCTATGATCATGTCAGTTCATGGCAGCTGAACATCTCTGTCAGCAGGAAGCAGTGCTGGAAAACTCGGGGCTTTTTTTGTTGGCTCAGATTTAATGTCTGAGGTGTTTTAGTATACGGGAACTGTGCTAATTGGGCTGTTCCACGACAGGTGTCCCTACATTAAAACGTCATTCTGATTCTTTATTTGGAGCTGATGACAATCCTCTGGGCTTCAGAATGAGCACTAAAGATTCTGGAGGATCCTAAAGGAACACTGAGAAATGGCATGCTGCATTAGTACTTGATAGTTGACAGTTGAAGCTCATTGTCTGTTCCACCTTTAAAAAGCATTCTTAAGTGGTTTCTTCAGAGCAATGTAAATTCACTTTCAGTGCCAATCAACTGTAGTTGCACAGGTTGACATGTTTATATAATCCTTGAGTGTGTTTCGGGATCAGTTTGGGCCCTCCTGTACTTCTGAATGGATAGAAATAATGCATGAGATGGGGTAGTGGATGCCAGAAGAACTGTCACAGAAGCGATGCAAACAGCTGTTAATATATTATTGCGTAATGATTGACAGGATTGGATGAACTAGCTCCTCTCACACTCTAGTTTAGAATTCCATTTTAATCCATCTCTTGCAAATCTCAATCAACACTACTATCAGATAGTGCAAGGATTCTATTCTATTCTAATGGAATTATATGGAAAGATTTTGTATTAATAAGCCCCGCATCTCTGATCCTCAAACAAACAACCAGTCTAGAATCCTTCATTCCAAAATTCCAAAGTGTTAAAAATAAACCCCGACACTCAATGGTGAAGGACTGTAATGGTGCAGGGTGGCAACACATGATATTTCTGAACACTCTGTCTATGATCAGATATTACGATCCGTTGGTACAATTATTCAGACAGCTTTACACATTAAATCCATAGTTTAATCAAAGGATGTCGAATAAAGCATCCATCCATCAATCCCCATCATGCATTCATTGGTTAGTCTGTCTGTCTGCTTTTATATTTATTTATTTGTTTGTTTGAACTGTTCATTTACACCAGACACCAGGTGAACCAGCGTATGAGGCAGTAATATCCATTCCGATTTTCAACTTTCAACGAATGCTTGAAATTGCTGTTGTACAAGTTCTGTAAAAATTATTTTGAGTGACTTACTTTTTAGAATATTAGTTACTTTTTTGTTCCACTAACTGAAAATGTTCCAAAAACATCCAAAGCAGAAACAACATTTTCTCCAAATAGTGAATGATTGAATTACTTTTTCATAAAGACAGTTACTGTACAGTATATGTTTATTTTTGAATAAATCTGTTTTTAACAAATCAGCTGAGTGAATGATTAAATGACTCCAAACCTCAGTTTTGAAATGTCAGACTTTTTTGGAAAAAATGGACATGTATCCAAGTTTCTCATTTGATTTATCTCCAAGACATCTTAAAACATAGCTGACTAAGTGCAGCTGTCATAAATGTATGCCTCAGAGATGCCATTAGGTTTAAAATAATACACTAGAGGATGTGATCCCCATTAGCACCCGTTGACCCACAGTACAGCTCACAGATCTGCTCACACACTCAAACATTCCAGAAAACTGTCTATTCATGCATAAAACATGCATGAAATCTTCATTAAACACCTCAAGATTGGAAGCAAAGCCAATTTCCCAATTTGTAAATGAAGGAATTGATGGTGTTACGACCCTCTCTGTCTCCCCAGAAGACAATCGTTAGACAGAGATGAACATATGACAGCTGATGACACGCGTCCTTCCACAAATCATGCCTGGGACACCATCTGTGCACTGACTTGTGGGAAATACTGTAACCTGTAATCTTTCTGCTTTACATCAGAGAGAAACACAGAGAGAATACAACTAGTTCCTGTGACCTCGTTTTGAGGTCTTCAATGTGTGTGTGTGTGTGTGTGTGTGTGTGTGTGTGCATGTGTGTATAGTGACAGCTGACAATGTGAGGAACTGTATGGGTACAGACTGTGTGGGTATTCTGAAAATAACAACGAGGATTCAAGTTTGGAACCACACCTATTTTTCCCGTAACCCTTCCCATTCCTAAACAACTGTGTTTCCCTCACACACACACACACTGACTGAGGTGCTGGAGAGCCCTTCTTCACTAATGCTGCTCTGAGGATATTAGACATGGATCCAATCACTTCCACAAAAACCGTCTGGTTATGGATGCTTCTATCATTCTTATTCTCAGGTAATACAATATGTTTTTCTGAGTTCTGAGGGTTTGTGATACACGAAGTCACATGGATTATAAACTTGTGAAGTTTTTAGTGGGTCACCATGGGTTTGTTCTAACGCTTTCTTTAGAAATCCAGCTATTGAGTGAACTAATTCAGTTCAACACATGCAGACCGTCATAAACAATATGTTGTAGAAAGCAAACTGAAAAGAAATTCTGGCGGACAAATCCTTTATGGCACCACTGGACTTTACATGTTCACACTTTTGTCTTTATGAAGTGTTAAAGTTAGAGAATGGAGAGTCAGCATGCTAAACTGTCAAACAGGGTGTTAAATAGGGTTTTAAATCCTTGTTGATTTGTACGAGTATTACATACAGTAAAAGCTTGCCGTGTCTATAAACATACAGTGGGTACGGAAAGTATTCAGACCCCCTTAAATTTTTCACTCTTTGTTATATTGCAGCCATTTGCTAAAATCATTTAAGTTAGCAATAAAAATACTTTTTTTAACTGTAAAGATGTAATATGTGTGTACTCAGACCAAGACTAAAGGTCAGCAAGAAGACGATTCTGAAACGAATTTGGAAAAACAAACAAACAAAAAACTCATAGCACAAAATGTTGAACCCTAGGATTCAATACAGTGGGCCTAATGGGTATTTAGACATAAGTTACACTTAATACATAAATGAATGTAATTACATTACATAATAGAAGAGGGGGGAAATACAAACTTCCAAAACATCTCCAACAGGCACAGGATCAAAACAGAAAACTTGAAATTAAATGAAGAAAATCCACACACTGGAAAATCCACAAAATGCACTTTCCCCAGAACTAACTTCAATTTTATGGTAATAAATAACTTGCAATGATTTTAACCTAATCTAAGAACATTTAGAGCATTTATGACATTTTCATATTTTATCCAAATGCAAAACACATCTTGTGTTTTGTAATTTACCTTACAATCTTAATATGAAATATTATGAAATGTAAACTATTTTGCTTGAAATTGTTTCATTATCTTCTTTGAATCCCACATGATTTGATATTTTAAACTAAATTTAATCAAATAAATAATCAACCACGAACAATTTATAACTTTTATTTATAACTAAACTATTACTTAGTGCTAAAGTTGTGATAACTTATCACAGTAATAATTTTTACAGTGAACACTCAAAGTTGTAGTTGTGCATATTGATGCTCAATAAAACATTTTCAAATGTTACGTTTTTTTTTTTCTTTTTCAAATTATCTACTAATTTTGTGGAAAAGTTTTCCTTATTCAAATTAAATTAAGTGAACAATTTGTATTTATTTATTTGTAACTTTTTTGATGAATAATAAAATGAAGAATTGGATTGACATGGTATGCTGTGTGTTTCAGATGGGATCTGTAATCTAGAAGGATCTCTGCACAGAGATCTAATGGTGGGATACAACAAGAACATAGGGCCTATGGAGAACCATGGTGACATCATCGATGTGAAGATCAAGATGACCCTCACAAACCTCATTTCTCTGGTAAAGCTCTGCATGTGTGTGTATACACAATGTAAATATGTGTGTAAT